AAGGATGGTTTGTAGCCACCATGTGGGTGCTGGGAATTGAACCTGGGTCCTCTGCAAGAGCAATCAGTGCTCTTAACCGCTGAGCTATCTCTCAAGCCCCATTAAAAAAAAATATATATATATATGTATTTAAAAAATTTTTAATGTATATGAGTGTTTTGCCAGCATGTATTTAAGTGCACACATGACTTGCAATGCCTGTGGAAGTCAGAAGAGGGCATTGGATCCCCTTTAACTGGAGTTATAGATGGTTGTGAGTTGCCATGTGGGTGCTGGGGATCAAACCTGGGTCCTCTGCAAGAGCAGCTAGTGCTCTTAACCGCTGAGCTATCTCTCCAGCCCCAGTTGATATTTCTAACAGGACCTAGTGAGTCTAAGCCCTGTCATTATGGCCATCACCATTGGTAGTAGCTGTAATAATCAGACCTCATTAGCTCATATGGAAAAAGGAAAGAAGCTTACTAGACTGGAATGTGGTCTTCCTGGAGATTGGAACAGAAGACAGGTTGAAGGCATGGGTGGAGGGTCTAAGGTGGGTGGGAACACCTAGCTCTCTCTTTGCAGTCTGAGGCAGGGAAGGGTACTGCTGCTCTCCCTGACACCTAGAGGTCCTGCTAATGGGGGCAGTGCCTGGCTTCCCATCTACCAGAGCCCCCAGGACATGCCTTCCTGTTCACTAGGGTCAAAGTAGCCATCTCTTCTCAGGACCCCCCCCCCCGCCCAGTTCTGCATGCTGTTCTCAGAACTGTGTACTGCACATTGTAGTGGGTAGGCATGTGATTGTCAATGTTTCTGACAGATATGTACAGGTTGGGGCAGTGGAGGAAATGCCAGCTTTTTGTTTTGTTTTGTATTTTTGCTTGTCTGTTTGTTGTTTTGAGACAAAGTCCCCCTGTAGCCCCAGCTGGCCTGGAACTCCCTAGGTGGACCTGGCTTTTATCTCATAGGGATCCACCTGTCTCTGCCTCCTGAGTGCTGGGATTACAGGCATGTGCCATCATGTCTGGTTTTATGAGGTGCTGGTAATTGAACCAAGAGCTTAATGCATGTTAGGCAAGCCTTATGCCAACTTAGCTACATCTCTAGCTCCAGGAAATGTCTGGTATATGAACCATTTTTAAAGTGATGTGGGGACAGTAAAATGGGCCAGTGGGTAAAGGTATTAGTTGCTAAGCCTGACCTGATGACCTGAGTTTAATTCCCGGGATCCACATTGTAGAAGGAGAGAACTGAGTCCTGAAACCCATCCTCTGACCTCCACATGCACACATGCCATGGCATGCACCCTTACTCCTGTACTCACACAAATAAAAATGGAATGAAGAGATTCAATTTGGTGAATTTTTGTTTGTTTGTTTGTTTGGTTGGTTGGTTGGTTGGTTTTGGTCTTTTGGAGACAGGATCTCTCTGTAGCCCCAGCTGCCCTGGAACTCACTATGTAGACCAGGCTGGCCTTGAACTCACAGAGATCCACCTGCCTCTGCCTCCTGAGTGCTGGGATTAAAGGCAGGTGCCACCACACCTGGTCAATTCTGTGAATTTTATGTACATAGAATATTTTTGTTGTTTTGGTGGCACTGGGGACTGAACCCAGGGTTTTGCACATACTAGGCAAGTACTCTACCACAGTCCTTATTAGGGGATGTTTGAAAAAATAAATAGTTACATTTAGTTAAAATCTCAATGACTCAATAATAAAGTGAAAATAAGTCTTTTGAAATGTAGTCTGTTCTACTCTGTACTTTTAATATTTTATTTATTTTTATTTTATGTGTCCAAGTATATTGCCTGCATGTGAGTGCACCCATGTTGTGTAATGCCGAGGAGGTCAGAAGAGGGCTTCAGATTCCCCTGGAACAGGAATTATGGACAGTTGTTAGCTGCCATGTGGGTGCTGGGAATCAAACCCGGGCCTTCTGCGAGAGCAGTCAGTGCTCTTAACAGCTGAGCCATCTCTCCAGCCCCCTGCTCTGTACTTTGAAAATAATTTTTCTCTTAAAAACTTCAACTTAAATTGAGTGTGGTGGTGCATGCTTATAATTCTAGCACCTGAGAGGTAAAAGCTAGAGGTGGAGGCTGGAGGATCTATCAAGTGCTCAGGCCAGCCTGGGCTACATAAGATGCTGCCTCAAAAACCTAAAATCCAAACCAGACAAACAGAAACCAAAGTAGATCTTTGGCTTGGCTTGTCCCTGCCCAGATTCTAGCTGAGAGCATCTAGCAGAGGGCCTTGTGAAATGCCCTCTTCCTTGTCATTGCCATGGGCAGCCCACTGTCCCCTGAAACCTGCATGTAACTCAGGGACTCTGGGGTGGGAGGGTTGATGCAGTCCTGGGTGGTACAATCTCTTTCAGATATTTGTGGATAACTTTGTGCATGGAGACCTTCACCCGGGGAACATCCTGGTCCAGGGTGCCAATGGACTTTCTCCAAGCCTGGAGGTGCACATGACACGTCCTCTGAGCCCCCTTTGCTTGGTGCTGTTGGATGCTGGCATTGTGGTAGAGCTGCAGGCCTCGGACCTGAGGAATTTCCGGGCAGTTTTTCTGGCTGTGGTGTTGGGGCAGGTGAGACCCACTGGGGTTGGGCCTTTAGGCTCTGGGGAGCTAGCTACCTGTTTTAGATGTAGGCCTCCTCAGCCCATGCCTGTGGTGAGTGCCCATGTTTGTCAGAATGCTGCAGGGGAGCAGAGCAGACTTGTGCCCTGAGAGTGTGCCTAGGCCTGGCCAGTTGGCTGAGCAGCTTAGCATTGGTGCCCTTGCCTAGCAAGGCCTCCTTCCCTTTTGCATTATAGACCTGTAGATTTCTGGGCCCATAGTTTCTCTTACTCTGTCAGCTAACGTATTAGTGGGGTGGGATGTGACAGGAAGCTAGCTTTTTAATCATTTTAAGCTTTATTATCACTGTGTGATGTGTGTGTGTGAGCACAGGCATATATGTGCCATAGCGTGCATATGGAGATCCGACAACTTTCAGGAAGCAAGTAAGTCTCCCTTCACGGTTTTCAGGGCTCGAACTCAGATCATCAGGTTTATATATGGTAAGCACCTTTTCCTGCTGAGCCAGCTCACTGGCCCCACACTAGTTTTTTGACCAAATAAAGGTTGTGTTCCATCAGCATGCTTTACTGCTGAGTGGAGGGTGAGAAGAAACCATTGTGCAGAGGACGTGTCCTCATGGGGCAAAACTGTTGGACTCTGGTGTGAGTAGTTACCCCCCACACCCTCTGAGGGGTTTCAGGTAGCATCTGTTATTAGAGAGCAGGCAGTTGAGCAGAGCTTCGCTGGAATCCAGATGAAGTCTCACAGGAAGAATGACTGGGAAGATACCCTTTTGCCACCTGGTGGAGAATTCTCAGCCAGACAAACCCTGGGAAAAAGGGCTGTTTTTTTTTTTCAAAAGAAGCAAAATTCAGGGAAGTCAACTAAAATTATGCCTGAAGCCAGTTTGAAAGTACCCCTGAGTAAACACTGGGGAGCAGTGTGGGTTGGGCTGGCTTCCTCTGTCAAGATTTGAGTGGACAGGTTACAGCCATAGGACAAAAGAGCTTTAGTTCTTGGGACCATGCTGTGGGAGGTGACAGGCATTTGAGGTAACCACTAGGATATGATGGGAGCTCTTAGGCTAGAGTGGTCTTAGGGATCAGAGAAAAGGTGGATTGGATCATAGGGACCAGGGCAGCTGGCAGTTGGCAACTCTGTTCAGCAGGAAGGGAGCTTACCAGGAGAGCTTGGCTCCCCTAGCCCAGGCTGCAGGACCTGATGACTCCAGCTGGGCCAGGTAGTGAGCAAGACTTGCAGCAAGACTCCAGGCTTGCCCTAACTGGCATGTACCCCTTGTGGTACAGGAGGGAGAACGAGGCCGCATACATCCTTGTCTTGACTGTGCTAAGCAGAGACCTCAAAAGACTTCAGCTAGCTAGCAGGCCTAGTGGAGGGCAGCAGCTGAGAAGGATGGGGGCCCAAGGCAGGGTGCCAGAAAAACCAGGGTGCACGACTGAGAGGTGAGTGTGAGCATACTGCTCCACTCTACCATGCTCCTTTTTTCTTCTGTCACTTCTAGGGCCACAAAGTGGCTGAGCTCTTCCTGCATCATGCCCGGGCCAATGAGTGCAAAGATGTGGAGGCATTCAAGTTAGAGATGGGCACGCTGGTGGCTGAGGCCAGGAAAAACACCATCACACTGGAAAAGGTGGGCAGGCACCAAGGGTGCTTCCTGTCCTTGTGCTTGGGCAGAGCTCACAAGGGGGTGGGAGTTTTAGGGTAGGTGTAAAATATCGTTTTCTGTCCCCACATCCTCCACAAAGCTCAAGAGGCCAATTGAAATCTCAGGCTCTTTGGGTTTTCCAGGTGGCTGCTGTGGCAGAATCCCTGCTCTACCCATGGTATGCCTGCTGTGCAGATAGCTGAGTGGAATGAGGGCCAAGCCAAGGATGTGCCCTAAACCCACGTCCCTTGTTTAGCTTGACCCAGAGCTGTGTTGTGCTTACAGTGGGTTAATAACTTGCCTGTATTACTCAGGTTCATGGCATATGTTAGCAGGACTAGGTCAACACACAGAGCGTCCACCAGCAGTGCTGATCTGTTTTATTCAGGTGGTTACAAAACACACACACACACCCTGCTTTATTCAGGTGGTTACAACACACACACACACACACACACACACACCCGGCATACCAGGCAACACCCTGCTTTATTCAGGTGGTTACAACACACACACACAAACACACACACACACACCCGGCATACCAGGCAAGCCTCTGAGCTATACCCTTTGGTCTGTTTAGGTGGGAGCTCTCCAAGTGTAGCCAGGGATGGGGAGAAGGATGTGCAGACAGGGCTGAGGCTTCTACTGAAGGCATTTGTGACAGAATCGAGATGGGAGTGGGGCTTCTACTGGCAAAGTCCTTCCTCTTGTATGTTGGGAAGCCTGTTTTCCACCCTCAGATGCACCCATGCTTGTGTGTGTGATGAGTGAGAAAGTAGGGAAGGACAGGGTCCTGGAAGGGAAAGAAATGACTATGGAATTCTCTGAAATTCTACTGGGCTCTCCTTTTTTCCAGCTTCACGTTTCCAGCCTCCTGTCCAGCATCTTTAAACTGCTGATGATCCATAAGGTGAGGTACAGTTAGAGGTCTCTGGAAGCGGTGGGATGGGACACAGAGCAATGGAGTGGTGAAACCCCCTTTTCCTCACAGTCCCTTTTCATGGAGAGTGCTGTTTTATCTTCTGATTCAGGCCCAGCAGGCCCTTTGTTCCTTCAGAACATAATCTGTGGATCTGTCAAGTCTATGCAAAGTATTGTGCCATTCAGATGTAGAAAAAAATGTTTTGAAAACCATAGAGATGGCCTAGTGCAGACGTTCCATGCCCTTCCCTCTTGACTTGTGATACTGATGCTTAGATGAGGGAGGTGCCCTTGTCCTGGTGCCATCAGAGGCCTTAGTGCACTGTCCTGACTGCTGTGGCTTGTGGGAGGGTGGTGGGAGATGATGAGCTAAAAAAAGAACATCAGGTAGATAGTAAAATCCCATGGACAGCACAAGAGAGGTGCAGGGCCAGTGGCATGGTTGCCTAGAATGCTCGGCTGTATCATGCGGTCTGGGAAGAACTGTTGTCTTTCTGTTCCAGGTGAAGCTTGAGAGCAACTTTGCCTCCATTATATTGGCCATCATGGTGCTGGAGGGGCTCGGCCGCTCACTGGACCCCAAACTGGACATCCTGGAGGCAGCAAAACCCTTTCTTCTCAAAGGACCAATGTCCTTCTTCTGACAGTGGAATGGGTGTGAAAGCTGCTCCTGAGGGTCTGTCTTTTGGCAGCTGGGACATCTAAAGCTGGGATGAGTGCAGGGCACACTGCTGCTTTCCTTGTGACCTGGCTTCAGGGTCTCTTTAAAAAGCTGTGGGTTATTTGGGGTGTAGAGGGAGGGCAGGGCATTCAGTGGTCATTTGGTTGTTGAAGTTGAGGTTGGGGCCAGACACACTGTTTCAGGGAAAATGTCATTCCCAGGAGGACAAAATGTGTACTTACTGTTTTGTTTTCCTGTTCTCATCTTTTTTCGTGCGTGTGTGTGTGTGTGTATGTGTATGTGTGTGCCTGCAGAGGCCAGAAGGGGTCCTCAGATCCCCCTAGATTTGGAGTTACAAGAGGCTCTGAACAGCCTGACATGGTGCTGGGAACTGAACTTGGGTCCTCTACAAGAGAAGCATGTGCTTTTAATCACTGAACCATCTTTCCAGCTGTTTTTTCCCCCTTCCCTTTCTTTTAAAATTACATTTACTAACAGCCAGGTGTGGTGGCGCATGCCTTCAATCCCAGGCTCTGAAGGCAGAGGCAGGTGGAGCTCTGTGAGTTCAAGGCCAGCCTGGTCTATGTAGTGAGTTCCAGGCTAGCTGGGGCTGCAGGGAGACCCTGTCTCAAAAAGATAAAAAAAAAAAAATTACATTTATTATTTTGTGTGTTGGGGTGGTGTGTGTGTGTGTCACAGCATGTATCAGAGGATAGCTTGCAGGAGTTGGCTTTCTCTTTATACCATATGGGTTCTGGGGATTGAACTCAGGTCTTCAGGCTTAGCAGTAAGTGCCTTTACTGCTGAGCTATCTCACTAGCCTGTGGTTTTCCTTTTTTTAAAACCTCCTATCCTCCTCAGTCAAGTAGGTCTTGCTGGTGGTTCCCACACTCTGATATAGGTTATATAATGTCATAACAAATGTCATTACAAATTCTTTTGAAAATTATATATACTTTTGACAAAACATTGAAAGTCCACAGGACATATACCCCTCCCACACAATTCATGCAGATGTTATTACTATTAGCACCTGGGTTTTTTTTGTTTTTTGAGTTGGGGTTTCCCTGTAGCCCCAGCTGGCCTGCAACTGGCTATGTAAACCAGGTTGGCCTGAAATTCACAGAGATCTTCCTTAGTTCTGCCTCCCGAGTGCTGGGATTAAAGGCATGTGCTACCATGCCTGATAACTAGCACAATTTTCAAGACACAATTTGTAATTGGGGAAAATTTCACTGGGCTTCAAATTATCTTCTTGATAATTTTTAGTATTTGCCAATTTCTTGCGGAATTATTTACAGGTTAAAACAGTGGGACTGCTAGCACAGCTCAGTGGTGGAGGCTTATATAGCATGTGTGAGGCTTTGGGTTTCAGCCCTAGCATCACTAAAACCAAAAGTGACTGGTATGGTTAACAACTAGGGACAGAAGTAGAATTTTCCTTTCCTATCTTAACATTTACCTGCATTTGAGCCTTCCTGGTCAGCTTAATTTCCACATAGCAGGGGTTCAGCCTCTGTCCATTTGTGAGAGTTAACTTTGGTTATTCTCGACAGGTAGTTAATATAAACATCATCCCAGTTAATCTCAACATATAAATATAACCAGTTTCTAAGGATTTGAAGTCTTCATTGACATCCTTGAAGTGAACTAAGGGTTGGTGGCTACTTCCGGCCCCCCTACTCTGGTTCCACCTGTAGACTGTCTTCTGGGAGCCATTGTGGCATGTGGTCAGCTGACATGGACTGGGAGGGCCTGGGATCAGCTTCTAACTGCAGGACTGGATTCTTCTATCCTGCTCTTCAGGATTGAGTTCCTCAGACTCTTGTAGGGAGCCAGTACAGTTTAGCTGGACAAACATTCCCTTGGTAGCAGGTTTATTAAAAGGGGTGAACAGGGCCTGGAGAAATGGCTCAGTGGTTAAACAGAGGATCTGGGTTTGATTCCCAGCACCCACATGGTCTGTACTGTCTTAAGTCCAGTTCCAGGGGATCCAATGCCTTCTGACCTCTGCAGGCATTGCACAACATGAGTGCACTTACACATACTTACACACTGACACACATAAAATAAAAATAATAAAATATTTTTTAAAAGGGTGAATGTATTATTTACTTCCCAAGTCTTGAGGGGTGTTCTGGTTAGCCACTAATGCTTGAAAGGAGCACACCAGCCAGCTATACAGCCTCCTTTGAAAGAAAATTTATTTGAAAATTTTGAAACTTGAAAAATTTATTTTTATTTTTTGTGTATGAGTGTATTGCCTGAAGGTATATAAGTGCACCCGTGTTGTACAGTGCCTGTGGAGGTCAGAAGAGAACACTGGATTCCCCTGAAACTGAAACTGGAGTTATGGATGGTTGTTAGCTGCCATGTGGGTGCTGGGACTAGAACCCAGGTCATCTGCAAGAGTAGCCAGTGCTCCTAACTACTGAGCCATCTCTCTAGCCCATCACACAGCTTCTTTGCCAAGTTCATATTCACTTGCTGTCTAGGGGAAAGAAAGTACAGATTGAGCAGATGCTTCTCTGAGCCTACCTTTTCCTGAAATCAAGGGATTTACCTTTTTATTTTGTGTATGCATGTTTTGCCTGCGTGTAGGTAAGTGTACCCGTGTCGTGCAATGCCCATGGAGGACAGAAGAGGCTGTCGGATCCCCTGGAACTGGAGTTACGTGTTAGCTGCCATGTGGGTGCTGGGATTCGAACCCGGGTCTTCTGCAAGAATAGCTGGTGTTCTTAACCACTGAGCCATCCCTCCAGCCCCGAAACCAATTAATTTAATCAAGCTGTTGATGGCATCTTTAGTTTACTGTCACTGTATACAAACTATTCCAAAACTCTGTGGCTTAGAGGCACAATATTTAAGTTTCTGTGAGTCACAAAGCTGGGTCCTCTGCCTTGGCCTTGGTAACCCTAACCCTTGGCCTTGCTTCTGAGACTGTCATATCTTCACAATTTGCTTGGTGGATCTGAGGGACCAAGGGCCTCTGTGCCTCAGGAGCTGTCACAAACATCAACATCAGCATAATGCAAGGTTGGAAGTATAGAGAAGAGAAAAACAGTAATAGATGTACTCTAACATAAGCATTTTGCCAATTTAAGAAATAAGTATCAGCCGGGCGTGGTGACGCACGCCTTTAATCCCATGACTCAGGAGGCAGAGGCTGGCGGATCTCTGTGAGTTCAAGGCCAGCCTGGTCTACATAGTTCTAGGACAGCTGGGGCTACAGGGAGACCCTGTCTCGAAAAGACCAAAAAAAAAAAAAAAAAAAGTATCCTAGCTGCCTAGCTGGGCATGGTAGGGGTGTGTGTGTGTGTGTGTGTGTGTGTATAATCCCTGGAGAACTGCAAGTTCAAGGACAGCCTGGGCTACACACCCTGCCTCAACAAATCAAAATAAGTATCTTCAATTTTAAATACTTAAGATACTTAAAACCACCAGGCATTTCCATACGTGTGACTCTTGAGTGTGAAACACCACGGAACTTAGCAAGTATCTTGTTTCAAAATGAGATCTCTGAAGTGTGAGGTTAGTAGGCTAACACTATTAAAACTAGGTTCTGAAAAAACGGGAGAGACCTCAAGAACTCGGGGGTGGAAGGAGTGTCCTAGAAGCTTGTAGCTTGCCCAGGTTTGGATGGAAGGCAATATTGAGAGAAAGCAAGCTGAGGCTGGAGGATCACTTTGGCATTGGTAAGTGGGTCCTTTGTTTCTTGTAGGATAGAGATCTGAAGAGCTTCATTATTCATGCTTCCTCCCAGAGGAGGAGACCATGTTACACATGTGCTACAGCTTCCCCTGCGTGGAGAGTCCACCATGCTAACATATTAAAATGCTGAGTACAGCTGCTTGGTTAGTCATCAGATTTTGAGAATACAGAAACGAAGACTAAACTTATGGCTTGGTTCAGAAAAGATTCTGCGCGAGATGGGCTCAGGCAGTGGGAGGTGCATGTATGAAAGCACCTTCTCCATCAGCCAAAGCAGAGAGAAGAATGGTCAGCGTTAGCTTTGGAAGTTTCATCAGCTGGCCCAGCCTCCTCCCCAGACTACTCCAGCCGACTCCCGGCCGCCTGCACGGATCGCGCGTTAGGCAGGAGCCTCAAAGTTTCCCCACATCTGGGTGACGCCCGCCGCTAGCGCGAACGGCTCGTTAGTGTCCCTAGTGGCCCACCGTCGGCCAGGGCGGTGCGGGTGATGTCACGGGGCGTGACTCAGGGAAGTGACTCGGTGGGGCGGGGCGGAGTGGGGTCGCTTGTCCCAGCTCTGTCAGCATGTCTTCCCTGACACGGTTGGCATCTTTCGCTCGCGTCAGAGGCCGCCTGTTCCGAAGCTGTGGCGCGGGGGCGGCAGGACACGGAGTCCGTCAGTGAGTGTCGGGGCGGGACGCTCCTCGGCCCACTCGGTGGAAAGCGCCAGTGCGTGGACGCTGTCACCTTGAGGCCGGAGCAGGGAAAGTGGAGTGCCCTCCCGCCGCCGCTCAAGGCATGCTGGGTCTTGTAGTCCACAAGGCCGAGGCGCAGGGCCTAGGGAAAAGACAGTTGCTTTGGCAGATTTGGTGGGGGGTGGTTTGTTGGGGGGGATGAGCAAAGTAAATCTAAAGTCAACAGGGAAAAGGAGGTAATACATATTAGAATGGAAATAAATGAGAATTAAAAAGCAGCAGAGAAAGAGTGAGAGTGTTAAGGTTCAGATAGCCCTGCCTCCTCACCAACAGGATCCCAAGGACTTCTCATGCTCCTGAGAAAAGGGCACCTAGCTGATAAGCACCTTGGTCTTTGAAGTCAAGAGAAGACTTTTCTCCACTGTTTGGCCAACACAGCAGACTTCCCCTTTGAGCTCCAAAGAGGACAGGTTTTAACAGTCCTGCTCTCTCACTCCCCCCTCCCAACTTTAAAAAAAAAAACAACAAAACATCTTCCCGCCTTCTGCAGGAGGCAGAAGCCTCCCTTTTAAAAGACCCGGGCAGACATTTTCCCTGCCTGGAAGGGAATCTGTCCCATGTGTTCCTTTGCTAATAAAGTCTATTTTGATGGAGTTTTAGCTGTGCCTCGGTGCCTCATCATCCATTCGCTCGTTATCCGCCAATTTTTTACCTATCAATTAGAAGCCGGGGCTGCACAATTCCCAAGGAACCAGCGAGTGGAGGCCCCGAGCCCTGCACCAAGCAGGCGGGCAGAGGTGGAGATGGACTTTGAGACTAGTGGGGGCCAGATTGGGAGCACCTTGAGGATTAGATCTTCCCAGATAGCCATGCACAGCCATTGTTTACCTGAAGGCAGGAAGGTAGAAAGTCTGTTGCTTTTACCGTTAGGTGCATTTTTGCCTTTTTTTTTTTTTTTTAATTTTAAATAAGCAGGCGGGCAGAGGTGGAGATGGACTTTGAGACTAGTGGGGGCCAGATTGGGAGCACCTTGAGGATTAGATCTTCCCAGATAGCCATGCACAGCCATTGTTTACCTGAAGGCAGGAAGGTAGAAAGTCTGTTGCTTTTACCGTTAGGTGCATTT